GCACCTTGCTGAGCCCCCGCAGAGCCCCCGCGAAGCCTGCTTCTTCGCACGGGTTGGATCCCCTCAGATGTACAAGACCTTATTCCGCCCCTCAAAGTCCAGCATGTCTTCCTGGGCGAAGGTTCCACTCGCCGGTGAAAGAAGGGTGTTTTTTGGGGTTGGCAAGGTCTTAAGAAAATGGAGCCACACCACCATGATACAACGGGTGCGTTGGTAACCAAATAGGCCTAGACCAAATGGATGGGAATATTGTCCATATCGCATCATTGCGGTACATACCACCCAAAAAATGCCACAGGTGCCCTCACCAACCTGTGTACCTGTGGCTGGGGCCCGTGGGGGAGGCAAACCTTCGCTGAGGCAAACCCTTGATACCCTGCCCCCAACCTTTGCGTTTCCTGTCGCAGGATTCGGATTCGGACGTGGACAAACGGTCCAGGATGAGAAGACATGCTGACAGAACTGGTCTTCCAAAGGCCCAGCCCGGCCCACTGGGCCTGACCACCCTCTTGGACTTCACTGGGCTTCTTCCGGGCCCTATCAACTACCCCAAGCACTTTCGCGCATCCCCTGGTGGATGACCCCCCGGATCCGACCCGGAAATCGGGTTTCTGCACCTCATTCCCGACCCCAACACCTCGGTCCGCTCCGCCGATCCCGAGCGCCTGGATGTGGGGATCTTTGGACCGCAAGTAGGCGCAGAACTGGTTCAAGCTTCGAACGGGGACACCTCGAGCGAGCGCAAAGGCCGCAGGCAGGACAGGACATCCGTGGCAGGCAATTGGAGGAACAGACGCTCGTGGCAAAAAAACCTCAGCATGGTGATCCATGTCTTGGTGGACCTAGTCCAAGTTCTTCAACCAAAAAAACCGGCCAAAAACCTCGACGTCTGCGGCAAACACCGGCACCTGCCAGGTCTCGGGGAAAGCGTTCGGCGAACACACAACACGGCACCACCGCGAAGCGCAACGGCACACCGGCGCGGCGCCGCGTCAGGGCGACGTCCACAATGGCTTCGGTCGCCTGAATCCGCGACGGAAGCGCCAGGCTTGCGGAGGTAGGTGGAAGATGGGACTGGCACCACGGAAACGGTACCACAGATGGGAACGGCAGGAGAAAGTGTTCGGGAAATTTGGAGAGTCTGGGTTCCTTCCTTTTTGTCTTTGTTTTTTTGATCCCTATATGCGGAAGGGCTTCACAACAGGGCCATGTCCAGGCCTCATCTGGATGAAGGCCAACGACCACTGAAGCACCATTCAGCCTGGTTGTGAGTCAGTTGCTGAAGTCAGATGGGGAAAAAGAAAACACTTCTAGGCAATGGACCTCGACTCACTGAAATCCCATGTTTTTCAAAGTTACGTAAACGTTGAGCATTTCGACTGCAATCCACCCAAAGTGTGTCCTTTTCCTTTCCTTGCAATCTCATGACCAGATATCACCAGCTATACGTCAGAGGAAACCAAGGGGCAGCTCGCCATGAATCGAGCTAAAGCTGGGCTCCTGCGGCGAGGCAAGCGCCGAAACGGCAGCAGCAGCAGCAAAGCAGCTCCATCAACCAGACTGTTCATGTGTGAACTGCACAAAGTTCTGTGTTCGTATGTCACGGTATGCCCATATGTACAGAATAAGAACACCCAAGAGGGTAGTTGCTTTCCTTGCCTGACTGATTACTTGTTTGCAATCCTTGCGTGTTTGTGTGTGTGTGTGAAACCTTGGAGTCACAGGGAACCTGTTGGTTTGTTTTAGTTGAAGGGGCACCGGGGGTGCTGATGAGACCGGCGCTGAAAAACACGCTCATCAACTACCTGTGATACAGTTAGAGACGTCCAACTGCATACCTGCACAGTTCTGACTGTCATTTCCTACTACTTGGTCCCGTTCTTAACAAGAACAAGTCTCTCAGAGAGCGAGCAAATGACGTACATTTTGATTTTGGGTTTGCAGTCACTTGCAGCCACTTGCTCAGGCAGCCACTTGGCAGCCACTTGCAGCCACTTGTCACTCAAGCAAGTAAACTTCAACACTGTACTTTGAATTCTTTATGTAAAAACTGTAAGATTTCTTCGTCGCTAGCTCTGCAGAAGTTTAGAATTTATTCTCGGAAGAGTCTTGCATTATTTCATGATTTCTCCGCGCGCAGCTCGGGAGAAAACCGGAATTTCTTCGCAGAACAGCATTGCAGAAATCTTGGTTTTCTTCAGAGCTGCATGCGGAAAAATCATGATATTCTCCGGACAGACGTAGCAGTCACCTGCAGCCACTTGCAAGTGGCTGCAAGTGGCTGCAAAATGGAAAATCAAAATGCGCACCTCCTGCGAGCTCAATGAAATCTCTGGCCTTTGCAGTGGTTCTTCATCGGCAGATGTGCACTTTGAGTCTTGAGTTTTGATGGAACTTTGCAAAACTAAATTTCGAGAGGTTGCTTTTGTGGTCAGAAGCCTTTCCACTTTACCTTTCAGGTTTCATACACATACCGACGTTGTGGTCACTCCCCTGCCGAGTTTCTTTGCTTAAAGATCTGCGGTTACTCTCAACCACCTCCTCTCACTGCATTGATTAACCTCCACAGTCACATGCATCCTCTCCCGCAACCAACGCCTTGCGGCCCGTCTCGGGATGCATGTGGACAGTTCGGACCTCACCGTCGCACGCATCACATCCCAGCACCATCTCTCCTGACGGGTTTACTTCGCATGGTGACATGTTTGTGAAAATCACCATGTTTTAGGGCGATGTATCCGATATCTCAGGTATGTAAAATGAAAGGACAAGCTAGATAGAATTGCAGACAGATTGTTCGAGCGACGGACCTTCGGAAAAATGGAACAGGTCTGACTTCATATCTCCACTGTGCTTTGAACAAAAATAGGCTACCAGCATAGACCCCAAACAGTTTCAAAACGATTCGTTGGGCTGACATTAGTCAAAAACGATTTCTTGGTACGCCCTACCTTCCCCTTCAAGAGCAAATTGTTTAATCAATGATTTTTTGTCGGCATCGATATCGCTAATTATTCGGCCACAAGAGAAAACAAGAGAAGAGCAGGACAAGAGAAAACAAGAGGAGGACAAGACCCGGTCACAGAGCCCGGCCACAGAGTTCAGGAGCGCGGCCAGTCAGTGTGTCCAGGGCTGGTCAGTGACAAGAAGGACAAAAGAAGGACAAGAGGAGGACAACAGCAGGACAAGAGAAGGACAAGAGGAGGACACAGAGCCCGGTGACAGAGTTCAGGGGCACGGCCAGCCAGTGCGGCATGTTTGGCTAACATGCGTCATGTAGGTCGGACGGCCGGCCCACTTTTGGACTTCAACTTATCAATAGGCCCGTTGGTAGGTGGGACCCCCGCCAACTTCACTGGTCAAAAAAAACTCAACTTGAAACCCAGGAACCTCCCTTCTCCATGTTCAATCCACAAGGCTTTACAATGACAGATGATGACTTGAATTGAAACAATTGAAACATTGACCATTTTGGGGTCTTCCCCATCTGGTGTCGACACGGACACCGCGACGACGTGTTCGACTGGATTTCCCCAAAGATGTCATTTAGCCGGGAAGCCTGAAATCAACACTTTCTAGATTGTCGTTGTCCTGTTAAAAAATTATCCACCCAACACATGACGCCCACCCTCCTGGTCCTCCATGTCCACCGCGACGACGTGTTCAACTGGTGTCACGTGTCCACCGCGACGACGTGTTCGACCCGTTTGATGGTTTCAGGGTCCCTGACAATTTTCTGCGGGAACTTTCACTTTGAACCGGTTCACCGCTAAGTTTATCACCAAGCCTAGACCAAGCCCCGCTTTGAGGTATGATGGATGGCAGAACAACCACTTGGCCTCCGACATGCTCACTTGACGAGGCATCACGAATGCACTGTCGAGTCATGGCACGATTGACCTCTTTGTGGGCCAGCTGGAGCTAAAGGACTACTTGTTTCAAAAAGTGGTTCCGAAACTTGATAACTGTTTATCCTCCGCCACTTTGACTTGTTTTTTCCATGGGGCACAGTGCCTAACAAGAACAAAAGGTCCATCCCATCTGCCGTCCTGTCCCACGGACACTTGTTTATATTAAAGCCTCTGAACTTCTCGGACGAGTAAGAACTCAACCGCTCACTCAGATTCGGGGCGGAAGAAACCGAGTCATTTTCAAGGTGTTTGAAAGAGTCGTGGACTCGTTGGAGACGGAGAGACTGAGGGTGCATTAGATCAGGTGCCCGTGGCTACCCCCCCATCATCGGGTTAGAATAGAGCGCGCGAAAAAGTGAGTTCGATGGTATTTGTTGTTTGAAAAAAAAGGTGTTCAAATTAGTACCATGGGTTGCGGGGTTTTCAGGACAGGAAATTTTTCCAATCCGGGGTTACGGCAGCGACTGAGAGCCCACCTCCTCCACCTCTTCCTCCTGTCGCCATGCTGCCTCTTTGGAGTTCCTTGCATTGCTCATGCCATCCTGCATCGTGAACTCCTTCATGTACATGTTCTCTTGGAGATGACTTTGGCCCTCCCGCGCTTCGTGAACACTGGCCTCTATTACCTTTGGCCGCCGAACTTCAGGGTCAAACTCAACTTCCTGATCCGCGTATTCTACCACCACCTTCTTCTTCGGCCCCCACTTCCGCAGCTTCATCCTCGACTACACGATCTACACCGTGGACATCGCACTTTGGCGCTTCGTTCTCTTCTACCTCCTTCCCAAGGTCCGGGGCCTTTTCGACTTGGAGTCACAGGGAACCTGTTCGTTTGTTTTTGTTGCAGGGGGCACCGGGGGTGCTGATGAGACCGGTGCTAACAAAGACGCTCATCAGATACCTGTGACACAGTCGGAGACGGAGACGTCCAACTGCGTACCTGCAGAGTTCTGACGTTCATTTCCTACTTGGTCCCGTTCTTAACTAGAACAAATCTCTGGCCTTTGCAGCATTTTGAGTCTTGAGCTTTGATGGGACTTTGTGCATCTTGATTCTAGATTTCGAGAGGTTGCTTTTGTATGCTTTTGTGGTCAGACGCCTTTCCACTTAACCTTTCAGGTTTCATACTCCCTGGTTTTTAAGAGTGTGTGAAGTGTGTGTGTGTGTGTCTGTGCAAGCACTTGCAGCTTCAGTCACTCCTTCGCTCCGCCGGCCGCCGCAAACGGCAAAACGCGCGGTACGCGAGTCTGGGAAGTCAACCCTGCCTCAAAGGTCACGGGTAAATGCTCGAAGGCTTGCTCTCTGCCTGTTCCAGCAAGTGAAAAAGAACTCCCCAGAACAGGTGGTGGCAAACACTTGGCAGGTCATCTACCCCGTCATTTAGGTCTCGGGGCCACCCTGTTCCGGTGGACCTAAACAGATCAATAAATCCGTAGTTTTTCTTGAACGGCCCACGGTTCTTTAGGTTCAGTCTGTCGCTGCTCACAGTGCTCACATGAATGCGGCCCACGTGGTGGGCAAAGGCCTGATCTTGTGGATTCGTTCGATGATCGCCTGCTGAACTCACCTTACAAATCTCGGATGTCTCCGATGTCTCCTATCTAAGGTGGCTGGGTCAACCCAAAAGGAAGGTCTGTAGACCCAAGGTACTTCCGATCTGTCGCCTCGATGTGTGGGGACTTCTGAGGCCTCACTCGTGCGGCGTTTGTTTTGGCGTAGGCGTCTTACGTGCCTCGCTTACGCAAGGCACGCCGCTGCCAGCTCTTCAACTCACCACCTCCAAGGAACACAGCTTTACGTGCGGCGGATCTAAACTTGGAGTTCTTCAAGGAAAAGAGTGGAAGATATTCCCCCAGGAAGCCCACAAGGAGACTTCCAAAGGGGGTTAACAAAGGAACGCCTTCAAACAAACAAAGTTTCTGCCAGAGATGATGAGAAAATATGACATCTCTAGTCCACCACCCTTTCAGATAGTTTTCCTCGAAAAAAAGGTAGTGGTGGACTGAGTGAGCGTCCACATGCGAGAATGATTGATGGAGCTGGTTCTGAAAAGAGAACACATCGTTGGTATTTGGGAAAAGAAATGACTAAGGATTAACATGACTCAACAAGAATATACAAGTTATATCATATGTATTCCAATTTCAATTGATATAATCCAAGTATATAATACCTCAGTCGCCCCAGTACGGCTGTCGTTGTGCGTTTCATGAGCACGTCACACATTTTTGTAGAGGTTGGCTTCGATCAGGCCGGCCTCTTCGAACGAGAAGATGCGAAAGAGAACATGTTTCTTCATACCGCTCGATCGTTTCTCGAGAGAAAAGCCTTGATATAAAAAGAACCAAACAAAGAATGTGAAGGCCGGCGGCTCGTGTTTTCAACCACACCGGTCTTCGAACCACACCGGTCTTGGAGCTCCATCGTCTCTCAACCACACAGACCACTCCCAAGGGGGGGGGGAAGCCTCTGCGCACCATGGGGTCAATGAGAGTGCAAGGGATGCCATACTCCACGCCTGGGCGGTGGGGGTATTTCCACTGGACTCTCGGAATCATCACAAGACGCACACCTGTACCTTTAAGTTAACTATGCTATACAGCGAGGGATCACGATGAGCATGCGGGACCGCCACCAGATGTCCAAGCCTTGGCTAGCCTGGCTAACGTGGCTTGATGGGACTAGCCCCACGCCCCATGTATACATGTCTGACCCGACATGAAACTGTCCGACAGGAAACATTGTAGGCATGAGCAAAGATAGAAGAGTGATTAAAAAAACAAAAATAAAGTCCTTTCTCGTTGTTGTTTCTGAGTACATGATAGTTTGCTTAGGGTTCTGACCACATGAAAAATGAATCACTACATACATTGCCCCTAGGATCCCTCCGCAACAATCGTATGAATGACGACATCTGTTGTTAGGATGCTTGTGGATAGAGCATGGTGAAACATCACCACCCAAACGATGGAAGTACTTGAAGGGTGTTTGCAAGCAGCATTAGAGCAGCTCTGGATGTTAAACCCCTTCTGCCCACTGCGAAATCAATCAAAAACTTAAACAACAAACTGGACTACTTCCCTCATTCCCTTTCAATGCAAGAACTGCACCCCAACCCAACTCCCGACCATCCCTCCCCAGATCTTCCTGTCGCTCTCCCCCCTGCGCAAAATCTTGCTTCGCCCTTGTATTCGCCCACATATTCACAGAGAAGCGGCTAAGCTGCCAGGACAAATCGCCCTGGCCACCCGCCACATCCAAGACCCCTCGACCGCTGCTGAGAACCTCCCCCAGTCAGGGATCAAAGTGACTGGTGAGGAGTCGAGAATCCAGTTCCTAACCTCTTCACCGGCCACAAAAAGCCTCAAAAAAGGGGTTGGAAAATCCAAAAACTCCTATGGAGCTACACAGGTGGCCTCAGGATTTCAGCTGCTTGGGGCGTCAATGGTGGGACAAAATCGATCCCTGAACACAGGTGCCAAAGTGCGGAACTATGCGGGACTACAGCGTGAATCACCTCGGTCGAGACGATCATCTTCAAAACCAGCACAGACCCTCTACGGAGCTCGAGGTCAATTCCCTGCAGCTCGAAACGTCTACCAAGTGATTCATGTGAGGTGCTGCTTCTGTGCCTTTCAAAGCAAGTGACAACAGCAGATTTCTTCACTCAATGACCTCAGCCACCGAATGCATTGTTTGTGTCATTGATTGCTTCAAGGCTCTTGTTCCTTCGCATACGCCATCAGTCGTGCATGCAAGTTCTTGATTCAGAGTGGTTTTGGTCAAGACTGGAACTCCCAGCATCCTGCCAGGAGTCCAGCCACAGCAGTGTCCCCCCACTCCATCTCCCAAATCGCACGCCTCGCGGCCATAAGTCTTCACCAGCCAGGCCGCAAAGCGTGCGGCGCGGCGCGCCTTGTCGACCTTCTCATGAGGACCTCCCACGATCGCGCGGGCGCAGAGAGACCACACCCAGCCGGGCCCGGCCTTCCAATTTGGGCCGCAGAAAGGAGCTTGGAGATCGAATGAGATCGAGCATCAACACATCTGAAGCAAAAGAATCGACGTCGCCTTCACCATACTCCTCCTGCTCTTGCGCTTGCAAGCGCTGGGACCGCTCCCGCGCGCAGCGCGCATGCCGAGCTTTGGTTTCCTGCGAGGTGGCGAGGGTGCAGGTGACAGAAGTGGTCAGGAAACAAAAGCTCAAAAGCTGAATCTGGTGACCTTCAGTCGATCACAGGGTCACCCATGGCCACCCTGTCGCAGACCACGGCGTGACTAGGCTCCGTAACAACGGAGCGCGGTGAGCAGTTGCCAGTGGATGAGTTTTTGAAACTGCTTCACTCTCATTCTGACATACATTGAGCCCAATGGAAGAGTAAATCCCCTTGCATACATCCGAAATCCATAAACGGAAATCGACCAACTATCTCTGCAACCTATTGAGGGTCTTACTTGTTCTATTCTAACCACCCAATCACTCCCTCGCCAGGAGGCTCCTCCTCGGCGCTCTGGAAGTAGTGGCGAAATTCGCAGGCCTGGAACAGCATGGCAGACGACCCGTTGATTGCGTGAGCTGCGATCCAAATGAATTCATTGATCCAAATGAATTCAACTCCGGACACCGCTACTAAGAAGAGGGAGTCCTTGTTAAGATTCATGTCATTTTGATTCTTGATGTTTCGTGCTACTTTCTGAATCAACATAGGTACCAGCACCTTCACTCCTGCCTCGCTGCAGCTCCCAGCCGCACAGCCCGACCAACGTTTGCAGAGCGCCAAACCATCGCCTGCGATCGCGTAGACACTTGAGTGTGTCGCTTTCGACTACGGACGACTATGGAGACTGTAACCCTTAAAAATCTCTATGGAGGACATCGCTCTTAGGTTGGAGGCAATCGGTATTAGCAACTAAAAAACAAATGTTGGGCCAGGAGGTTGTTCTAACAATGTGGCTCTTCGACTCTTCATACTTCCAGGGTTCTTGCTGTCCACGGGTTCATGGGTTCGGCGATGGATCGGGTGCCTCTCCAGGGTTGGGAGTTGCCTGCTTCTGCAAGCATCCAATTGGTGGTCAGCCGTCGTTTGCATTTCCTACCACAACATAAGGGTTTTTGTCAAATCTTTGTTGACCAGGCTCTCACCAATGGATATTCAGCGTCTCAGAACCAACCAACCAACCAACCAACCAACCAACCACGAATTGTTCAATCATGTCTATTCAACCAAACCATTTGGGAGCATGAACAAATAAGAAGACTTCACACCCAAAGGGATCCTGTTCGGGTGTGTTTTGCCCAAGTTGAGACATGCGGAATCTCGCTCTGTCCGAATCAAGACGATCACCCGTCCGCCACGCGTCGGCCTCCCAAAAGTGCCTTTGCACGTCGGTTCACCTGGCAGTCCGAGCTCCAGCCGAGCAAAACAACTACTCCGAGTCCCAGATGTGCCAACTACACTTATCCATTGCAATCCGTTCTTGGATGATAGTATCTATCTATCTATCTATCTATCTCAATCTCCTTGTCTCTTTCGTCCAGACCAACCACTGGCTCCCTCATCTCTCTTTCGTCCCTCCGCGGCGCCTGGTCCTTCAGCGCCAAGCATCGCGCCATCGACACCCCGTGCGCACCGGTCTCCACAACGGGGGAACCCCCGTCGGGTGCACGTCGCCAGCGGCGCACCAGGAACTCCGGGCGGAAGCGAGGCGCCCGGACGACCTCGACCTTGGGGCAAAACGGTCTGGAGATCTGGATGAAGGTCTGGGCAGCATGTTGGAGTCTGAACCAGGAATCTTTCGGGTGTTCAGGATTCTGTCAGATTCTTTCAGGCGGAGGGGCGGCCTTGACTGCTCTTGGAGAAGCCCGGGAGGAGGGTAGTTATATTCACACCGGAAGAAGGATGGATCGAGCAGAATCAAGCACTCAAGAACGGATTCGGGATGAGATGCCCTGGGTTGGGGGCATAAGAGTCAACCACAAAGGTAGGCATCTTCAGGCCATTCATCGTAGATAGACTCCTAGATCGTCACCATGTGTGGGTTTGCAGGATGATTTCACCTCTCAAGCTAATCAACTGATCCCCTTGTTCCCCCACCTCGATCTGAAGGCCAACGGGCAGATCGTTGCGGCGCGTCGGCGACGGGACCTCACAGGTTTCGACCACTGGTGCTTCGTTGCGGCAGCAGCACAGTGCTTCGCACGTGACGGAAGTACCTCCTACCTTCCTTGCGGTCTAAGCGACAAAATGGACTGGAAGACTGCTCCCCACAAAGCAGAGGTGTTCAATGGTTTTCAGCTTTGATGTCGATTTTCGCCCCATACTTCTTTCCTGAGACCTAGGAAACCAGGGGGATCCAAAGGGGCTGCTTAGCAAATTGGGATGTTCCGCTCTCGCTCGGGCGGCTTGGGTCAACACGTCCTGCACGTCGATGATGTCGACCCATCCCACGACCAGGTCCCACACCAGGTCCCCTTCCCCGAAACAGAGCTCTTGTTGAGCCGGTCCATCCGGGGGTCCCAAACCCACGCCTGGGATTCATCTACGAGGGCGGCTGCAAAGCAAAGTGCAACGTGCTCATCTTGCTCATCGCTCTGCACCTGAGAAAAAAACGCGTCGACAAGAAGGCAACCAGCAGTCGAGTCAACGGCACCCAATCACAGTCATGAGGCTCCACGAGGCTCATCGAGGCTCATTGAGTCCGTGTGGCGATGTGGCTTCTACCGGTACACAAAAGCACACCGGTAGGCGGCCCTGGCTGGTACACCAAAGCCACGGAAAAACTAGACACCCCCGAAAACCACAACCGAAGGGCCGAAGGGCCTGTCTTCAAAGGGGATCGTTGTTAGGCTCCCCAAAGAACGGAAAGTAAAGGGGGGGCCCATTCTTGTTTTTCGGAGCTTCTCCGGAGCTCCGTGGTGTGATCCTCCCCCACCTGCAAGGTGCAAAAGGTCAGGTGCTTGGACTTCACCCGACGGCTCAACACCTCGGTCGAGACGACCGGTCTCCGTGCGGCCGGAGACCGAAGCGGAGGTCGAGACGACGAAGCGGGTGGGTCTGCGGTCTGAAATGGATCCGATGTCACCAAACTGTCTGAGCACAGGTTTTGTCGTGATTTGGACAGAATTGACGACATGAGTACGTTGGTTCCTCCAATCTCAACCCCTCCGTCGGATCTCAACGGGATCAATCGAAAACGCCCTCCGGCGGATCTGCATTCCAGGCGACCTCCCCTTGGAAGACTCTCTTGCTCTCCAGGACCTGTGGCTCTGCTTCTAACAAGGCCTCAAACCTGGGCTGCTGGACGAATCTCAACAAAAACAACACCCACACCCCCAACTGCTGGATGTTCCTACCACCCAGTAGAAAGGGCTCCCCCCCCAAAAGAGAGCAACATGCCAGCTATGGGGCACTGATGAGGAAACATGCTTCATAGGTCTCGGTCCTTTCGCACGAACGCTCCGCTTGAGGGCCATCGCTCCTTCGCTCCTTCGCTGCGCCTTCGTCGTCCGGAAAAGGCACCGGGCACACGGTCCCACCTGCCCTGTCGGCGAAAAGGGGGCCCGAAGAGCAGAAATCGATTGAGGTAGTAGAAACACCGGGTGAGCTCTGTGGAGAGTACCAAGCCCCATTTGGGAGCTGAAACTGAAACAGCGAACCCAGGTAAGACATCAGCAGGAAAATTACCCTTCTATATACGCGAACCAAGCCCCCATTTTGGGGCACCTGGTGCTCTTCTGACGAACTCTTCCGAGTTCGTAGGAATCTCGGCGAAACGGGTGATCCACCCCTTCAAAGCCCAGCCACGAGCTGGGAATTGCCGGGCGCGCGAGGCCATGCTCGGCGTCCATCCAGGCGCGCCCCGCGACCGTGCTGCGCCACCGCAAAACGCGCCGGTCATGGGCCGCGGCAAGACGTAAAATTCGCTTCGCCCAAAGACAGGACGAACCTGAACGCAAAGTCCTTTTGGAAAATAATCCTTCTTTGCTCACCACCCAAATGCTTTCTGATACAGGGAAAAGCCTAAGTCATGCCTAAGTCATACCCCAACCCTTCTTCCGCATGGCACCGCTGCTCCCAGAAGTCATACCAAAGTCATGGCTTTGGAGCTTCTCACCATGGAACCGCGCCAGTAAGGGACGCAAAACACATGGTAAATGTTTCAAAATCTTGCACTTCAGCATGGAACAATGATGTGCAACATGTTGAGCCAACCCCAACAAGAAGTATGTATTCGATCTGTGAGGGCGCGGTCTCGCACCCAATGTTGCCAAACCTACTCACTCCTGGACAAACATGGGAAGCCAGTAGAGATACTTGTACAACTGTTCCTTGATCTGCGGACTCTGCAAATCCGGTCAAACATATTATATGAAGTCCACCGACCGCAGGGCTTTCTTTTTGTAGCTACGCCTCAAATCAACTTGGTGTCATGTTGCAAAGCTCGCGTGGAAAACGATTCTGCTCAAATCTTAACAGATTTCACTCTCACATGTTCCACATGACCAAAGGCAGACGACAGGCTGTTGACGACAGGCTTGACGGTTCCGTCCCACCCATGGAAGTCTCATCCTTTCTCATCCTGTGGACTTAAGGGATGCGCCGGACCCCCTAGGTCCCTAGGTCCCTCGTCTGGACGTTGTCTTTCCCACGGTCTGGCTGGACTTAAGGGATGCGCCCATGAGGGCCCCCGGTAGTGCGCTGATGTGAGTATCAGTCGCAATCAGAAAAAAGGATGTCTGGGTTTTAGGTCAAAAGGTCGTCATGTTGAATCCATTTAAAATCAATACATACAAAGAATGTTATGGATCTATAGTCTATAGTCTATGATTATATATTTATATCAATAACTATATATGTATATATAAGTGTTGTGATATCATGATATATATATATATATATATGATCTGATACTGTACAATGTATGATCCTCCAAAAGTTCTGTAGCTTCGCTGAACAGGTCTACACTCCGCTGAAAGGACCGTCTGTTTCTTCCAGGCTCCTGGCTTGAGTGTGTCCATCTGCAACTCCTGGTTCTCATCCACATCCTCCTCCGGCGCATCCTGAGACCCATCGGACCGGTCGATGACGGGCTCCAACATCTCAACCCGGGTGTCGTGTCGAAGAAGGGTGCTTCTGTATTTGGGGTGTGCAGCACTTCTGTAGCTCCCAGGTCTGTGCTTGAAGAACTGAGTAGTTCCTTTCTCTGAGGAACGAAACAAGAGAGAGAGAGAGAGAGGAGAGAGCGACGTCTGTCGCCAGTGTCCCGACTTGCTAAGCCTTCTAAGCCTTCGGAAGTGGCCAACAACTGAAGGAATCACTGAAGGAATCCCTTCCCTGATGCCTTCAAATCACCGCCACCGCCACCCGCCCTCCAGGCCCTCCGCGCGTGCGGGACAGTCATGGGAAGCAGCGGATCCGCAGCGCCTGGCCGGCGGAAGAACCGGGAGCACGTCCCAAGCTTGGAGCACTCCAATCTCGACCTCAATCCGAGTGCTTAGGGTAGAGGGGGTAGGGTAGGGCTCACCACCCGGTGCAGCCGAGAAATGCCTGATCATTCAAGTCATTTTCTCTGAAGAGCTTGGAGTTTGGAATTTTCGGGTGAACCACACCCCTGCAAATCATGCGGAGAAGTGGACAGCTCACAAGATTTCACTGCCGAAGGCATAGAGATGCTAAAGCCTGTTTGGTTGGGACTCCTGCGAATATAGAAAAGAGCTCTGCATCTCCTGGAGAGGAAAAGAAGCATGGGCAGCAATCCCAAATCTTGCATGGTATCGGACAAAACATATGAAGTGTGTGATTATCAGTGATCCCGGTGCAATGCGAAAACGAATATGCCAGCATGCAAACTAACCAATTACTGAGTACCCTGGTACCCCGGTCCATCTTCCCCATTCTCCCGGCCGGTGGATGGCAAGGCATCTGAGGGAGGAGTTCCAAGACTCTTCATCCACGATGCAATGTCTGAGAAAGGAGGAGGAGGAAGAGGAGCAGCTCCTACCGCCGTGAACACGACCCATCGGTGGACCGAACAAGTCTGCCATAGCTTGGCGACCGGGCCTTTGAGACCTCTCTGGGCCTCTGTCCCTATTAGGTTGGAGGCCATCGCGTTCGTAGGTTGGAGGCCATCGCTCCTAGGTTGACCAGTTTCTTTCGGGACCATGGTTTCTGTCCACTGCATTCCACGCAGCAAGCCGCCACACCGATAGGTTCAAGTGCAGTTCGTGGTTGTGACTCTGTAGCAATGGACAATTGCCTACAAAAGCATCCAATGGTTCCGACCCGCCCACACTGGGATTCACTTAGCACAAAGGCGTGAGAAATCCTGGCAGACTTCTTCTGGAGTCAGCCACAGATTGAAATTGCATGAAATTACAATGTGTTTCATGGTTGCAAGAATTTCAGGAAGATGGTTCTATGTCTTCTAAACATGAAGCAAACAGCTGCGTCTCAGAGATTGAAATCTGCTACCAGCTACCACCTCCACATTGGTGAAAACTCCAAATGTCATCAAATTTCATCCTCTCAGATATAGGGAATGGCCTGCATGAGCTCCCACTTGTGATTGCCAGAGCTGGAGTTGCTGCTGCGCCTTCCACGGAAGAGACGGGTTTCCCTACACTCCACGAGCAGGCAGACCACCAGAGGCTCGATGCTCCGATGCTCGATGGAGTCTCTGGAATCCATCATCACTTGTGACTTGTGAGGTCCTTTTTGGTTGTGCATGGGCTCGTGACGATTGTTGAGACTGATGATCTGATTGATTGGGCTTGTGAGGAATATGGGACATCGCAAAGAGCGTGTAACTGTGTTCCCATTCTCTTCTGATAGGCATGGGGTCTCCCTTCAGAAGGCAACATCCATGCTCTGGTAAGCAGCTTCTACGCATTGATTGTTCAAAACACTGGAGGCAACGGGGCTGCGAAACGGCCTGCAGCATGGCCATTGCCTGGGCCTCAATCATGGATGGGCAATGCTGGAGTGGACAAACAGAATGTCTAACCCCAAGAAAAGAAATGTGGAAGGGAGGGTCGATGGCATGGGTCGACGCGCTTCATGATTCCAACCAACTTTGGGGCCCCCAAAGTAGCCGAAAAACACACCCGAAAACGACGGCCAGACGATAGGAGTTCGGTGATACTGTACCATCATCACAGTCACAAGTTGGTCACAAACGATGTCCACAGGCTGGGACCCACTCCCGACAGCCGTGGGTGTCTCCTTCTTGAAGTGCGGCCACGCGTTTCTCCATCTTGAAGTGCAGCTTGAAACCCGAATTCCGCTGAGACAGGGATGAAAAACGCTTTGCAAACATCTCTTTTGGTAAACACACACACCTCTCCCTCAAACACCTTGTCTATTTTCGGAGAAATCAAACCGTGGACCCAGGAGACGGTGAGTCAGGAAGCCTTCGAGGGAAGAGTCACGTCGATTGGGTCACACCGAGTCACACCAGTCGATGAAAAGGGGGGTTTCAGGGGGTCACACCAGAATCGTTTCAGGGGTCACACCATGGGTTGCTTTCGTCATACTTCATCTGCCAGTCCACTCCAAGCCCTCCAAGCCCTCCAAGCCCACCCTCGGTGCCCGCGCGGAGACATCTGGCAGACCGAGTCCGTCGAAACCTGCTCCGTGCCGCGCCGGACGGCCGCGAGGTCGTTCCCCGAACAAAAGACCGAAAGATCAACACATGCCAACCAACAAAACAAGAAGAACTGCCAAACCAAAACTGCCAACACATGCCAACCACACTTCATGCGACATTCCAAAACAAAAAAAAACTCGACAAACAACACATGCGACACACTCGGGAGCCCTTTCTGAAAAAGGCATGTTCACTCTTCCGGGAGTCCTGTTCACTCACCCTGGTCCATGCACTTTGGATCGAAACAAAACCAGACTGGTGCGACGCGTAGGGAACGAAACAAGAGCCTCCACTCTTGAGTCTTTTGGATCCAGGGAATCCATTCCTTCAATTTCCTTCACTCCGTTCAAGCCGCACCAGTCAGAAAAAGCTGTTCATCCGCGTTTGGTTTTAAGATGTTTGTTTGCTTCCCCGCTTGCCTGGCGTTCGCAGGTGGCGCTCGAAGGGCATCTGGGCGACCGGTGCCAAAGGCGCTGGGACCCCTCAAAACCAGGTGTGCACCAGCGGGAGTAGACACCAGCTTGATGTTTGTGGGTTAGATGAGCGAAAGTGTGACAAGCAGCTACAACCAAGCCAATTTAAATGTCAGTCCCAAGTCAGTGAGGACATCGTCTCTGTTGAAGAGTTCCGTAGGTGGGGACGTTTGGAAATTCCTGTTCTAACACACACTGTTTTACAGTGTTTTTTCTGTCTGTAGCTGATAGTCAGAGACCAACAGACTCTGACTATGTACCCATTCCAACTCCACCTTGAGTAAGTGCACGTTCAAGCTTTTCTGGACCGCAATCTCCTGGGGGCCAAATCCCATGTGAATTGCTAATACCTGTATATCAATAGCGGAACGCGGGAACCGTTTGATCGCTTCTTTTTGGGGTTCCCGTTTGATCGCTTCTCTTGGACCTACTGATCAGCATCCGTTCGCCTGACTTCCCATGCTCGCATTCAAGGACTCCATCTTGGCCATACAGTCCGCATGGACCAGCCTCAAGCGATCCGAAAACGCGCACGTAGGGTGAGAGAGCCGAAACGGGTTGAGAGGGTGCAGAAAGTGGCAGAAAGTGCGTAAACATCACCTTGGGAAGACCAAACATTTACATCTATTGGCATGAAGCGTTGCAAGAAGTTTCTTCTTTTGAGGAGAAATTAAGGAACCCCCTACTACATCCTACTCCTACTCCTACTCCGACTCCAACTTCGACTCCGACTCCTACTCCGACTCCGACTCCGACTCCTACTACTCCTACTCCTACTCCTACTCCTACTGCTCCTACTCCTACTGCTACTGCTCCTACTCCTACTCCTAC